TATATATATATATATATATATATATATATATATATAAAATACCCATGGCTGCGTTTCTTTTGGGCTCTTACGCGCTTTAAGCACTTATAAACCACTCTATCTTTCTTCCGCATCTAATGAGTGATAAAGATAGAATGACACTTACAGTGCGTGAACGCCCAAAAGGAACGCAGCCTATCTGTTCTGCATTGGCATCGCAATGTCCAAATCCGTACATTTTTATGCCAGCCAATCAGTTGGTTACATGACCATGTTGGCGATTCTCTTTACTAGAGGTTCTCTATGGGTGCTTTCCAGTTGCGTACACTGTGTTACACAAAACCAGTTTATTGGTTGCATATTATCTTACAAGATATTTTAAATAATATGTGACCAATAAACTCGTTTTGTGTACGTGTGTGTCAAGATGTGTTAAGCAATTAGAAAACACCCTATATGAAACAGGATGCTCTTGCGGGGCGAAATAAAATTTTTTATATCTTTTTTCTTTATATTAATGACAATATTTTATATTAATGACAATAGTGAAAATATTTCAAGCGCCTTATCACGTTTCTGCGCAACCCAAAAGGGTATTAATGAATAAATTTTAATTACAAAAGATGTTTCGTTCCTTTCACAGACACATATGTACAAAACTGGGACTTAAGACGTCTTTAAAAGTCGTTCTACATAAAGATCGTTCTACATTTGAAGCTTTCCATTTGCGTACACTGTTACACTGTTACACAAAACTAGTTTATTGGTTGTATATTATCTTACAAGATATTTTAGATAATATGTGACCAATAAACTGGTTTTGTGAACGTGTGTGTCAAGATGTGTTATGGCTCCTGCACACAGGACGCGGTAATGCTTGCCGCATGACGGAAGTTCGCGCGACAGCCAATCAATATGCTGCTTTCCGTAATAACCTTCTAGCTCTTACGGAAAAACATATTGATTGGCTGTTGCGCGGACTTCCGCCGCGTGGCAAGCATTACCGCGTCCTATGTGCATCAATGATGCTATTGACGCTTCTAATTGGCTATCGCAACAAAAGTTGCAATCGACTTGCTGAATTGTTTGTTGGATGAAAATACTCTATTCTGATTGGTGCATTTCTGAAGACGGGCCAATCAGAATAGAGTATTTCCATCCAGCAAGCAATCTAGTACGAAACAAGCATCATGTGCCGCTGGCTTAATATAGTCGGTATTCATAGTCCGATCTTATATTTAAGGTCACTTAAATACTGTCTTAAGATGTCATGAACCAATCACAGAGTCGTATTCGCATCTTAAGACATTACTTAAGACGGGCTTGAAATAAGATTCGACTATAGGTGCATTCGAGGAGCTTGCTATTAGCGCTACCGTGTCATTCTATCCTTGTTGTATGTTTAAGGAGCAATGAAGATAGAAGAACGCGGTAGTGTTAGTAGCGTGCTCCCCGAACGCACCCTATGAATACCGGCCATGAATACCGGTCATAGGCTTATAACCAGAATGAGAAAGAAAGAGAGGAAGAGAGAGAGAGCTTCTTCACTGTCGCGCATGCGCAAAAAACGCAACTTGCATCGAACACTGAACCATCTGACAAACCTAACACAAATTGATCTATAGGATTTTAGTAGTCACCATGGATAAAATATTAAAATTCGGCGGTTATCCCGCTGCGTATGATCCTGTGAAACACGGACCGTACGATCCTGCACGCTATTATGGAAAACGTAAGTCCGCTTGTCACACGCGTTCACACGACATCGATTTTTAGCTCTATCGAAGTGACGGTTACCTTATGTAATGACCTCATATTTACGCAGTCGATACTTCGTTTTGGGAATTAAAACTCAAAGATATTCCGGCCTGGTTCGGAAGACGTGAGAAAACGCCGCAAGCATTCTTAGGATCATGTTCACGAGGTACTTATCCTACTCAAAAGCTATTTTATTAATCCAAAGTTGCATAACCATAATTTCCATATCGCGCACAGAGCGAGAACCGTAATGTTCTAACTATAGTTCGTACAAGTCTACTAATGCTTTGATATACAAATATCTTGTATCTTTTTTCTGTTTTGCAGCATTTTGGCGTTGGCAACACAGATATATACAACCTAGAAAGGGTGGAATTGCACCATTCTATCATGTGATAGTTAGCAGTATGATATTCTTTTATGTGATTAACTATAAGAAAATACGTGAGTAGAAGAAAAAAATGATTAATTAAATTAATTTCTATGGAATCACAATTGTAACATTTTCTATTTCTTTTATTTCAGGTCATCATAAGAACTACAAATATCATTAAACTTCCTCTACTGCATATAGTGTACAACTGCAACTACATCAATAGATGATTCCAATAAAGGAAATTAATGTATCAGTTGTATGTGAGATCAATGTTTAGAACGTGTTAAATAAATGTTCAGTACAGGCAAAGGTATATAGTTTGCTGTTTCAGATATTTTAGCTTTTATTAATAGTTATTTGATATTTGCCCTATGTAAGATTTGAATTTAAAGTAGATTTAAGTTTTTTAGTTGCATCATATATGCGACATTCAATTTATAGTCGCGATTCCTTGAAAAACTTACATCTAGCTCAAAGACTCATATTAATAATTGCTAAATAAAACGTTCCATGTGAGATACTCAGACCTGAGAGAGAATTTAGAATTAGATTCGAATTTTTACTTGAATCATATATGTGACGTTTACATTCATTATATTTGAGACAAATTTCAAATAACAATTAAAAGAAGTCTTTGATTTCTCCCATTATAATATACCAAGCACTGAAAATCTATAGTTTGTATTACGTATACTATAGAGTTTCAATACTAGCAGTAAATATTGGAACACAGCCTGTAAGTTTACATTAAAGGAAAACATACATCACTACATTAAGAAAATTTTCTAGTAAAATGTGTGCTACAAATTTAGAGATCCAGTAAAATCATATTCTATTACTTCAATTGCCAGAAAAGTTGGAAAAATCATATACATTACAAGAATTAGTAGAATATAAGTTTATAAGTTAGAAGAATAGTGAAAGAGTATGTACTCATTGTGGAGGAAATTTAGTAATTCAAAAAACAGACAATAATAACAAAATATATCTTTATTTTAAAATTATGATTATTTAAAATTGCTAGCAACAAAACATCTAAAATTACAAATTTAAAAATTAAAAATATATCTACGTTAAAAATACGTATAGGCATAGATATATATAAAATTGTAATTTTCCACAATGAAAGTATAACTAATAGACATTATATAAATGCTCTGCATAGTAAGCACACAAAATGGATTTCAATTAATGATTGCATAATAAAAAAAAATGCAATTAGCCACGAAATCTCAAAGATGCATGCATTTTTTTGTTGAAAAAGTAATATAATAAGATTGTAAATAATCTATACAAAAAGCAGTGAGATTGTAACAAACAATCTTTACAAGATAAAAAAAAGACAAAAATAATTTTTATATATTTTTTATTTGATATTGTTTGTATGGTATTTTTTGTTTAGTATTTTTGTTTTGGTATACTTATTTGCAAAGTAGAACACTTTCATGAAGTTAGCAGCTCATCAATGATTACGAGCCTGACAGGTTTATGTGGTATTCGATCATAAGAAAAGTTGAAATGGCGATATACAATATGATCGACTGAGTAAAAGTTATAAAGCCTTTCTTCAATATGTTTTGCAATACATCCCATATCTAATAGGAAAATAAATCTGAGAATTCTTAAAATATATTCTATTGCTGCCGTACGGAATATGTGTGTGTGTGTTATAAAACTCATTGTTGGAAGTCAAACGAATAATCAGACGTACACTGACGTAGACTTTTAAAGTAGTTTGAAAACTTGTTTTCGATGCAGTTTGAGACGTAGCTAATGATTCAGTGAGAAAATATAACTTCAGGATATTAATCAAGATTTTCTTATTGAAGCATCAGCTATGTATGTAAAACCTATTGAAAAAAGCATTCAAACCCTTTTGAAAACAAGTGTACAGTCGTGGACTAAAAGGTTGTTTGTAATTTTTAGAATGAATTTGTAAACTCAACCGTCTTGTCCAATTCATTTTCTAATGGAGGAATGCTGAACATTGGACAAGACGCGAGTAAGTTCTACAAACTCATGTAAAAAATGACAATCTTGTAATTCATGATTGTACAAGTATTGCTCCTTCATATTGTAATATTAACTTACTATACAGAAACTAAGTGTCTCATATCTCGTGCAAATTAATATTTGTTATATTTACATTTTCTAACTGTTCTACTACAACTTATTTTGATAGAGATTCTTTTCCATAGAACGAAATATTCCTCTACAAAAACAAGTTTAACTTTGAAGTGTCATAGATTTGGAATATAAATCTAAAACAGGATAAAAAAGTAAAGTGCTATAAATTATAGTTGCGATTTTCACTTGCGAACTGGAAATTAATATTGTATAATACTTATATTGTTTATTCTGCACCCACTTTATATATATATTGATTCTTTTCTTTTCTTATTTTCCTCATTAAAGTTATTTCTCAAAGACTGTATTTTATTCATGTACTTTCCTTATAGAAATATCATACTAAGAATCATTGATTAATTACTTATTTTCAGTATTAAAAGTACAGTATTTAGTAATATTCTGTGATTCAAATACAGCTTTTAGTACTCAAGTATTTCAATATTTAATGTTACAAATCCTACCTTATGATTGATTTCAATACTTAAATATT